CGATGCATTCACTACACATTAAAATGTTAACAAATTTTGTATTTATCGATGCATTCACTACACATTAAGATGTTAACAAATTTTGCATTTATCGATGCATTCACTACACATTAAGATGTTAACAAATTTTGTATTTATCAATGCATTCACTACACATTAAGATGTTAACAAATTTTGTATTTATCAATGCATTCACTACACATTAAGATGTTAACAAATTTTCTGAAGTAAAACATACGTTTTATCATTTCTTTGCTAAAGTACAAACCTGTTACATATTATTGTGTTTCACTGATAGTAAGATGACAATCAAGTTAAAATAAAGGATTTACAAACACGTGGTCGTCGCATTGTTTTGGCGTTTTTTCCGAGTGAGATATTGTTCAAAACATAAAATATTATTTGCTCGTAAGTACATTAGCGCTATATATCGGTTGTGTTACCTGACTGTTAAATAAGAAAGACGTAAAAACTATGTGGCATTGAGCAGTTAAGACTCACAAAGAAACGTCAGTTAGAGAAGGTGATTTTCTTAAGTGTATAAAAATATAAAACATGCGAAACTGTAGCTTTGCAAATATTGTGAAAAAAACAAAAGCGATAACTTTTTATGAGTCTGCCACCCGATGGCTTGATAAAAAGCTACTGAATTATATGAATTTATGTCCTACTACTTTCAGCCTTGTACAGATACATCAACGACACTGACGCTAAAACAATAACCATCAACGTATAAAATATTATATGATACGAAATATAAGAGTGTTTTTTGACATGACATACGTATTTTCAGGAATTAATAGAACATGAAAACTGATTTAGAACTTAAACGAGTAAATATTTAGTTTTCGATAACAAATGACACGTGAAGGCATTTAGCGTAAAGGTGTAAATACTTTGATTATTTGAAAGTAAAACGTATATATGTTTACTGTTATGGTGTGAAAGCCTTTTAGAAGCTGGCGAAAAATTATTATAATTAATCACAATTGTCAGAGGACATTAGTATTGGGCTTATTATATTTTTAAGAACTATATTCTTACTCTAGTCCCTTAGGAATTTTCAAGAAATAGAATATTAAAATAATAGTATTCCAACCACAATATATTCGTCATGTCCATTGCCGACGATGAATTTCACTCAATCCAGAGCTCTTCAGGTCGGCTGTGTGTTTCAACCACTACTGTGTTTAATGTGATTGGAATACGTACACTCTACTGATTCTTAAAAATCCATAAGAGAGCAGATAAAGAATGTAGTGTTTAACAATATAATAGTCCTATAACTAACGTATTATGACAATTATAATCAATCATAATCGTTCTTCGCCAGCTTGTAAAAGTTGTTCACACTAACAATTGTTGTTGTAATAAATAGTATATCTAAATGGAGTTTCGTCCACTATTGTGTTTATTGTATCACAGTCGGCCTGAAGAGCTATGGATTGAGCGAAATGTGTTCTTGGCAACGGATATGATAAATATAGTGTAGATAAAATACTATTATTATACATTCTATTTATTCTTCAAAATCCCTAAGGGACTAGATAAAAATATAGTTTTAAAATATAATACGTTTAATACTAATATCTTATGACAACTATAATTAATTACATGCCTACAGCTTTATGTACTGAAGTCTAACCTGTTATGTATTGGTAGTAAGCAACATTTTAAAAAGACGACTTAGGCGGCTATCAGTTCCCTCGTTATAATGTTTCTAAATAAGTAAAAACTGAAATATTTGAATTACATATTTAAAATCGTTACAATTAACAGTAAAGTTAACCACTATTTACGTTTTATATAACCAGAATATTATAATTTACGTGAGCATTAGCATATATATATATAATTCAAGTACGCAAGAAAAACTGAAATAAAATACATTTGAGCTCAGTTCAAATAATCAAGATAAAAACTCATTCCTTACTGCAAAATGTTTTATCAGCTACTTTCAATTTGTGATAAGTGATTGAAACTTCTGTCATATTATTCATCAGAGCCAAAAAATTTTGCTAATTAACTAAAGATGAGAGAATTTAACTTTGAACTTCAAATACTTTACTTGTATTTGTTTTGTTTCAAACCATACTCCTTTAAAGGAATACGAATTACGTTCTAACATGTTTCTAATTATCTATATTAAAATTAAACAAGAAACCACCTTTTGTCCCACTTACATTTGTTTTATAAAGCCGATAAACATTTATTGAAAATGAAAATAACAAAAAACAAGCAAACAAAAATTACTCTATTTCGAGTATATATATATATACATATTTGGTTTTGTGTTATACATATTGATGTGTCGTTTACTGCATAATAATATGTAATAAATAATGCTTTAACCTGATATGAAAATTAGAAAATGACTGTTAAGTAAAAATAATTAAAAAACTCAATTTGATACACTAAAAAATTATCTTGATCTATTATTATTGCAATTTATTATCATGGAATATCTTTATGCACAAAAGTAGATGTTTGTTTGTTTTTAAATTTCGCCCAAAGCTACACGAGGGCTATCTGCGCTAGCCGTCTCTAATATTGCAGCGTAAGATTAGAAGGAAAGCATCTAGTCATCACTACCCACAGCCAACTCTTGGGCTACTCTTTTACCAACGAATAGTGGGATTGACCAACACATTATAACGTCCCCACGGCTGAAAGGGCGAGCATGTTTGGGGGGGGCGGGGATTCGAATCCGCGACCCACAGATTGCGAGTCGAATGCCTTAATCACCTGGACATGCCGGGCACATAAAAGTAGATTACTTTCACATCTACTTTCTATTTTGTAGCTGGTGTTGAAATTTGTTGCACTAAATCGCCATCTTTTTTTATTTTGTTGAATTAGGCTAGAAGCGGTTTCACATAGAGTCTCTATAGTTGATTTCTGTTGGACACTCCTGTGGGAATAGGTTTCATGTGCTCTGCTATTTGAGATATGTCTAAAGAATAAGAAAACAAAGTTGTGTTTAGGGCTTAATGATGTGGTAGTGAAGAGAGGAGTCAAATTTCCACTTTGACTGAAAGTAGATATGAGTAAATATTAAAGATCCTTTGGTAACTATGATGAAAAACTAATGGTTTCAGTTTGAAGCAAAAGAATCAAACACTGGAACCGATATTGGCTAAAACTGGGCTACATATGGCCCAAATGTGTATAAAGGCGTGTTATATTATATTGGATTTCTTAAAATACATATCATAAAATTGACGAGATGATTCTCACGATGCCCCAAAGGATCAACGAACTCCACGAAGCAAAAGGAAGATCTACTAGATATTAATTAAATTATAAATATATCAATTCATGTGAAAATTTTCAGTCATATTATGGACCCTATACTATCATTGGCCATCAATATACATGCAGTTTGTTTTAAATCATATAAAACAAAGTTATAAACATTTATTTCACTATATAGGTTGTTGTAGAGAATAATTAATCATAGTAGTACAGTATCATCTCATCTGTTTGCTTATAACATTGTGGTAAGCATGTATGCGGATCTCATTCCTCAACAAGTGTTCTCTGTGATGACTGCTTATAATGCCCTATTTTATAGAAACCTTGTTTGATAATTGTTGTAAGTATCCTGCTAATTGGATTTTCAATCCATAGCCTGCTATAAGAATACTTTTGTGTTGGGGTCTGGTCAGACCCAAGGTGACCCACAGTAAACAGAGTGGTCACAAGTAAATAGACACCACCTTTTCAGAAAAAATGGTGGACTTCAGATAAGTATTAGATTATAGCTACATACTTCGTCTGCCTGTTTTGAAAACAATAGTGTAATAGTGGTCTGCTTGACAGTTATATGAATTGATATAAACTTGTGATTATTATGTAGAAAGATATACAACCAAGAAAACTGTAGTGGTTCATGGGACCTGAGGTGAGCCGAAAATATTTAACCCATGGACTGTGGCTGCTCTTAACGAGCATGGAATTTATGCAAGCCGTACACCATGTAGGATACACTCACATTCAACTGCCAGAGGTGGACTGTACCGTTTATGGCAAATCAGCAGTCAATGGGTTAAAGAGGAAATCCAACACAATGCTGATTGTCATCACAGAAATTCATCGTTGGTCTCAAAGAAAATATCTCATTGCAGAGATTTTTCTTTAAATAAATGTTCATTGACTTATTTCACATACAAAAGCAATATAAGTAATATTTTCAGCAAGAACATGTTCATAAACACACTTATTGTATCTAAAAGAAAAGTCAACTATACAGAAATGATACCTTAATGAATGAACAGTTTCAAATAAATAGGATTTTATTTATTGGCATGGAAATAGGCTACAATAGGATAAGTGGCAAACGAAAAAAAACAAACTTTGGTTAAGATATCATAATTAGTTTCAATGATTGAATTAGTTTCATGATCAGTAGAAAATCGAATCAGACTAGAATCAAAGTAATTCCATTTTCAGATATAATTTTCACAAGAAGTTGTACCTCAGAAATAGATCATTGTATAATTTGACTATTATAAAGGTCTTTGTAATTTAACTTATACATCCAATAGAACATACTTTTCTTTAAAAAACTGATGTTTAATTGGTTTGAAATTCCATTCTCTGACCTTTCTGTTCAAGCAGCTCAATTACTTGAAAAGACATGTTTAGTTTAAAATCAGCATTTAAAATTTTTTACAAAGTGTGAACAATCCTTTTTTTACCTACAAGTTTTTTATCAGATTTGAAGATGTAAGGTAGAGGATAGGTTTATCGGTATATTTCAGAAGACACAGAAACTATTTCGTATACTTGACTATTCCTCTTTATGAATAAGAATACTTTTTTATTACATCTGAAAAACAACAGTCAACTGTTTGAAAATGGTCTAGTTTCTGGGTATCTTGAAACCTAATTGACATTTTGTTTTTGTGATGATCGTTTTTGCTAATCTTATCATCATAGAGGAAAAGTTCACAGTACGTAAAGTCACTCCTAGGAATCTCAGACCATTGATTTTCATAAAGACAAATTAAACTATAAAATCCTTCAGAGTAGCTCTGTTAGCCTTAAACACACATTGTTTCAGGTTTGTTTGTTTTTTTGTGTATGAAAGGAAGTTTAAGCTTGAAAGTGAGTTTCAGCAATGGAAATATATAAAGTTCAAATGAATGTTAATAAGGTGTATAGATCAAGTTATGATCTTTGTGAAAAATGTTTTTTAGAAACATTCCACCTAAACATGTAACATTATATGATATTCTGTGTTTTCATATATTTTATGGTGGTTATGTTATATGCTTGGACATATATGTATATATATGTTCACACACACATATATGTGAACTCTGCTTATGGTCCATGTTCTTAGGGAGAGATCTCAAGCATCCAGTGCCATGATGCTGATTTTGATCAAGACTTCACTGAGACTGGGGAGCTAGGACTTGCTTGTAGTGTAAATAAGGGATTTGTTTGCTCAAACGCTGAACAGCCTGATGGAATCTGTAAGGATTACAAGATTCGCTACTTCTGCTCTTGTGGTGAGTTGTCTCTAATTTTATGCACCAACTGATACAGTTCTGAAGTGAGTTACACGGTTCTTTCAGACAGAAAGTGTTAAGGCAACATTAGTATATAGCACTCTTTAAAAAATATTTATATAGTAAATAAAAATGTATTCTTGAAGTAAATTGAAACCAAACATCTGTATTAATTAGTTTTGCAAAGCTTTATAAAAAATAAGTTTCCTTATGTTTAACTTTACATATTATCCAGCTATCAAAAGTTTATTAGGAAACATAAGGGATTATAGTTGCTAGAATTCAGATCATTAAATAATGCAAATTTACAGAAAATTTAACATTGTAGTAAAACTGTGTGATCAGAAATGGTATAAATTCCAATGAACATCTAAAATACATTAATATGATAATGCATTGTAAGATATCTCATTCTTAACAGGTAAATGTTTGAGAGAGAGGCAAAATTAGTAGCAGTTTCATGAAGTTAGTGATACAAATATGTGGTATTTAATTCACAGAATATGCACAAAGAAATGGGAAAAAGAAATTAAGAATTAAAACTTATTAGTTAAATTAAGTGAAAATGGTCATTGTGTATACTTCTTTCAGAGTCGTTTTTGAAATTTATGCAAGTCATTATGCCTTAGAAAAATAGTCTGTTGCCATAAAAACCAATTTATGTTATAATAAAGCTTGTGTATAGATTGAACGCTTTTCTGTTTCATATGTTTATGGTTTTACAATAACATTTCAAACTTATTATTTAAATATTTTGGTGTTTCTGGATGTGTCATTACTTACATTAAGTAACAGCTGCTTTTGTTTTGTTTTCCTGTAGTAGGATCAACTGTAAAACCCCAAACAACTGCAAAAATTTTGTCATCAACACCATCGATATTTCGTATGTATTATGTTGTTTTATTTTACATTTGTTAAATATTTTTCAGCTTCTTATAAATATGATTGTGCTTGGACATAAGTGATTGTCCTACAGTCTGGAGTATCTATATCTTGAACCCAAAATATACACAGGGGTCTTGATGAATGGAAAATTTAAAATGCATCAATTTCCTTCATTCTGCATTAAATATTGATCACTTATAACTGTACGAAATCAATTTAATCATTTTAGAACTAATGTTATCATCACAGTTTAACACAACTAACATTGAATGTAAGAAGTAATTTAGCTCTGAACTTGTATATATATATATTTATTTTTTTTCAAGGTCTTTATAATTCTACATATTGATCTGTAATTAAATTCCAGTGTCTGTTGGATGTGATTCATTATTTGTGATAAACAGAAATGTTGAAAAAATATTAAACATAGTTACTATTAAACATTTTAACCACACATATTGTGTGTTTCAAAAATCAATAATTAGTTAAGTCTAATGAAAGCTTGTTGGTGGAAATTTCATTTATAAATTAGATAGATTGTTGAAACAAAAAATTGGCACAAATCTTTACTTCAGCCTTGATTTCCATGCATTGTTCTACAGGAAGAGATTATGGCTGTCTTTTGTTTTAGAAATGACTAGAATATTATTTTTCTTTATCTGTCAGAAAAAGATATGATTTCACAGTATAATACATTTCAAGAAAGAGTTATTTAAAAAAATATTTGAAATTATGAGAAATCTCTCCTTAAAAGTAATTAATGCATTTTAACAGAAGTAGTAATTTTAGATAATAAAATATAAAGTTGAACTAATTTTCCATTTAATGCTGTTTTATAATTTACATGACTAAACTTATGATCTGAATGTTATCATATCAAAAGATTTTGTTAAGGCACAATTAATTTTAATGTTTTTTTGTTTAATAGTTAAGTTTAATTTTTAAGCTACTGACACATTTTAGGAAATTAGCATGTACTGTTAACTTTAGAAAATTGGCAGAATAACTTTAAGGTGTTGAAAGTATTCACACGAACTTGAAAGAAGGCCAAATCCACCTTGGCAGGTGAGACTTGAAGTTGGCAAACAAAAGTATGACAGTTTCTCTGAGAGGTTTGAAATTCATATTTGCATTTATTGTACTATAAAGTTGTTGTATGAGTAATTAATTTGCTTTTACGTCGTTTTCAGCATCTTGTAATGAATATATAGACTTGGTTGGTGGGTCTTTACCCGATTCATTCTTCAGAGCTTCAAGTAGCCTCACTTCAGAAACTGGTCCACAGGCAGCTGTAATGTTAGAAACCATTGAACCGAGTGAGTATGAAGCATCATAAGTTTTGCACCATCAGAAAAGCCTTCTTATAACATAATACTACATAGAACAGCATTTCTTGTATTTTATTTAATAAGCTTTTTTCATTTTGTAAGTGGTAACACTATTTCAATTTTTAGGTGATTTAACATGTTAGTAAGTCTTACATGTAGTCATAGCAATTTGTTTGTTAGCCTATCAAATTAGAACTATTATGAATAATGTAAGATTGTACTTATAAAGGAAAAATTAGTTAATCCTTTAATATTTTTCAATGTTTTAATAATTATTGGTAAGGAAAAGCCATGAACCTTAACCATAGTTTAATTATAAAAACTGGAAAATTTATTACCTATTAAGTACTAACTTTAGTGAAAATCATACAAGATGTAACTCCAGTTAGCAGCAAATTTTTATATTCCTTTGATTAGCCAGTCATGCCGTCATTACAGAAACTGATAAAATGTTTTTAATTTGATTTTTGTTTTATGCAATTTCTGAAGGGGCATGGACAGCAAGTGAATTGAATACTGACCAGTTCATAGAAGTTAATCTGGGATACCCACAGGTTGTTTATGGTGTAGTAACACAAGGGAAGGTGGGATCTGAAGAATGGGTGACATCTTACACAGTTTTGTACAGCAGTAGTGATGGAGAATTATTTAAATACATAGAAAACCCAGATGGTACTCCAAAGGTAGGCTGGTTTTCTAATAAATTGAGAAAAAGATATATTAACTCGTGTATGTTAAATATTAAAAAATTTCCTTCTGCTAGCCATGCTTTTCACAAGTTGGAATACTATTCAAAATCTTTGAAATATTTTCAATTTGCATTAATTTAAGACATTTGGACAGTTTTTTTTAATCTAAGGTTTACACTGAATTTTTCTGGAAAGGTTATCTCCAAATAGTAATAAATTTTGCCTCTTAACCCTCAATATATTAACATTCAAACTAAGGTTGGTGTCCTGCTTTGGACTTCAGAAAATCTGCATATGTGATGGTTAAACAAGCAGACAAGAAAACGATTCAGTAAAGAAATTAAACTTTGCACAAGTGCTCCATTATCCTAAGTATTGTAATTATTAGAAACTCCTTAATGCTATGTATAGGATACATTTGTATACAAGCTGCTATACATGCAAAATGAAGCCATTTTTAATATAATGAGAGTCTATGTTTGTCTTTTTTTTTTCTCATAATTTTATTTTCATAATTTTAGCCTGGTGCAGTTATTGAACATGAGTGTGAAAAATGTCAGTGCTTAAACAATTCTCTTGTTTGCTACACAATACACGGCTGTGGTGCAAAGATGTTACTGACTCCTCCCTCATTAATTGAAACAAAATCAAGACCAGGTAGACCTTTTTAGTTAAGCTTTTCTTCTGTTTCAGATACATTTATTAAATACTTAAATGAACATAACTTTTATATTATCCAATATGTAATGTAGCAGTTAGAAGTTTGATCAAAAAAGTTTTATTTTGTGTGTTTCCTTTAGGTCTGTTATGACAGTGTTAGTGCAAATTAAATTGAGAGCAATAATAGTATGTAATGGAGTATAATAATAATAATTTAGGATGCCTTATGTAAATTTTTTTTATTGGTTAAGCACAATGAAAATAGTTAAAACTGCTCTGAATTTTGTTTCTTTTTTGCTTACACAATAAATTATTGCATAAGCCATTAAAATACACTCATCTCTTTCACATTAACTTTGACAACTAATTTGTATGATCTATTTTGATGAGCTATTGCATTGTAAGATATTTTAATAAGACTTGCATATAAATTTGACTTGAATTATTAGGTTAATTATGTAGAAATTAGGCTACATGTGTTAAGAAATACCTTGAAGAAATAGTAATGTAAGGACTGATATTTGATTAACTTTACAGGGGTATAAATTGTATATTGCCAAGTGTTTCTGTATTTTTGTTTCATAAATTCTACATAGAAAATTTGTACAATTCCTATTACATTTGTAAATTTTATTGATTATTTACCAATCTTCAATTTGTTATTGCACTCGAGAAAGTCACACATATGGTCAAAACCATGTTGATCTACATATAATTTTTTATTTAACTGAGTGCTAAAATTTACATCACATTACATCAGAATTAATAGTGTTAATAGTAACACGTTGTTTTTCTACTCTTATTGTGAGTGGTTTGAGGTTCGAAAATTGTGTATAAATACTGGGAAGTTATGTACAGGAATAAAAAAAAAAAGAAAGGCAATTGTAATTCGGTTAAGAAGAATTTTGGGTTTAAAACAACAGAGAAGAACTAGCATATAAAGTTCATAATTCTTCTCCTGTCTTTGGGTTTGAGTAAACAAGAAAATAGAATGCTGAGATATATCTACACTTATAGAAATTTTAATTTTAAAAGTGAAGGTGCTCTTTGTCTATACCTCTTAAAATTTAATATTAAATTTTGATTCCTTATCATAGAAAGAATATCTGTTTGTTATAGAGGGTGTATAAAAATGGTTATAAAATAGATCATGTTGTCCAATTAAATCATGAATTATGACAATAGACTTAAATCCTTGCTTTTATGCTCTGGAAAGACAAGAAAATCAAGGAGGATTTGATTTGTAGTGCCCAAAATGATTTGGAATTTGGCCAAATTACACAATAACACCTATTTTTTGCTGTTGTTTTTAGAGAGAGGCAGGTTTGAAAACATTGACTTATATGTTTTAAATCTTAGTTATGAGCTTGAGTTCATAAGTGCAAGTTTCCTCTCTGTAAGCATCATTTTTCTTTTTTTTTTTCTGACTGATTTATGGAGTAGCTTATAAAAGGTGATACTGAACATTCTGTGAATGCATGTTCAGTCGACACTCAATTGAATGAGCTTATAGACTAAAGAAGTTGCATTCAAATTTTTGTTTACAGATTCTGAGATTTTGTCATCTGTTTATTTTTTATATTTTTATTTGGTTTTTAAAGTTAGATAATTCAGTAAGTTATGTTCAGTTCATTGAAAGTAAGTTCATTACCATCTTTATTAAACTGTTTGTACTCTGAAGTCCAAAACATTTAATTTAATTCTAGAAATTTGTTTCACTCAAATTTACTCTTGAAATAATTGATATAGTGTACTGACAATGTTTTATTAACTGTGTAAATTTTTCTAATTTTATAGATTCTTATTTTTGTTGTTATTATTGAAAACCCAAAAATATGTTAATTATTTGGATTGCATCTCACAGGATGCATTCACAGTCTATACCTGAATAATTTTAGATATATTTCATTTATTGCTATGATGTATGAAAAAAGGAAGAGTTTATTTAAAAGAAATTGTTTTGTTTTTAATTTATTTTTGTGTTTGTAGTTCCCGAAAATCCTACTCCTATTATTCAGGATGATTGTTGGACATCGTGGATTAATCTGGATGATCCAAAATCTGGAGGAGGAGACTTTGAAGATATGGCAACAATTCGAGCCCACTATAGCTTCTGTCCTGTCCCTGCTTTTATAGAGTGTAGGGCAGTAATAAGTAAGTAAATGTGTAGAATGTATTTATTAAGTGATTAATGTGTAGTCTTAGGTCATATTTTTGAAGAAAAAAATATTTATGTAAATATTTGTTGTGTAGTTTTTATTGAAATCTGTTCTTAGATCATTTCATATAAAAACCTATTAATGTTCTACTTGTCAGATAAAGAAGATGCACAAGTCATTGGACAAACAGTAGAATGTGATAAAAAGAAAGGATTACATTGCTGGAATAACGTTAATGGAATTAATGGATGCTCGGACTATGAAGTCAGATTCTTCTGTCCATGTGGTAAGGAACAGTAGTTTGTGCAGTTCTGGTTGATTAAACCAGAAATAAGTGTACTCCTGAAACTTTGTCCTTTCCATTTTGTAAGGAAAAGCTGGATTATTTGCTTTACATTTAACAGTTTCTTGAAAGAACCCAAACTAATGATACAATAATTTCAAAACTTTTGACCTAACTACATAAATCATCTCTATTTCTTTCTAAATCTGCATTTCATTAGTTTACACCTACTATATTTGACTAACTGGTACCAGACACCAGGAATAAATCTGATTTATTCCACCAACTCTTTTATGTACCCTCTATAAAAAAATAAATATTTGCATGGAAATTTTTAATAATGTAGATAGGTTTCCACGGTACATTAGTAACTCTGTATATTGTGAAACATCACTAGTGAAACTCATTAGCTATTTACAAAAACTTCCTGCTTTTTTTTTCAGCAAGATAATTTTCTCTTCATTTGTGGACTTTTTAAATTACGTTGTAGTATATAGTTCATACATTCCCACTCTTTTCTACCACTTATCTTTAATACAGTAAACAGAACTGTTAAACTTTGCTAGAATTCTATTTCAGAATTTGGTTAGTCCATACTAAGTCAAGTGTTAATTCAGTCATAGATACTACTTTTTATGGCATGAGTTGGTCAAGGTTATTATCCTCTGTTTTAGAGAATAGTGTAATGATAATTTATGATTGTCACATAAACCCAAAATATTTATGAAGTATTATAATTGAATTTATGTTTGGTCACCTGTAGAGAAAATATGAATTGTGAGAGCAGTTTTGATGCTTTCAGGGAGATTAATTTTGAAAGGACCAAGACAAGCTGTAAAGTGGCGTGTTTTCTTCTACATCCTTTATTGAATATGCCATCCATATGTTGTCATACTTAATCTCAATTTTGTCAGTGAAATTTGTTTTAGTTTAACTTTTATCAGTTGTATTTCATTTTACTTTTGCCATGTATAACTGTTAATCATGAGAGGTTGTACTGTGTAAAACAAATAGCATTTATTTGTGTCCATCTAAGTGATTTGTTTGTTCTCTTCATTTGTTTTGGCATTAACATTCTATCCTTTGAACCTGTTATTATGCAGGATTGGTTAATCTGTTTGTCCTTATTTAAACCAGGAATACCACATGGACATAATGTTTAATTCTAGTTTACCAACTAAATTTATTATGGAAAATGTTTTAACTAAATATATTTTTTTAAATTCCAGTTAGTAGCATCTTTGTAGATACCTCTCAACAAATCTGTATTAAAATAAATAACAAGTTAAGAGATTGACAAAATCTTTTAAGAATATGTGTTGACTGGTTTTGATTAAAGTATAAACTTTTTAAGCTATTTTAGATTGCTTCAAGTAATAGTTCCAATATAAATAGTTAGAGTCATCATTAATAATAATTTTATAATAAAAAAACATAAAATTTTACAGTTATCAGAAAGGATTTAACTGTCGAAAGAGTTAAAATTTTCATATATTTTTTTTTACTTAAGTCTTTCACTTTACAATAGTTTTTTGGCACATGCTCATAGAAGTCACTAGAATGTTGAAACTTTCTGGACTTTTGATAATTTTTTTCAAAATATGGAACCTCTCTCTGTTATATTTATACAAAATATGCATAAAATTATCTTATGTCCATTTACCAAACTAAGTTTGGAGCTGCAAAGAACACAACACATGGTGTATATATATATGTACATGTCTCATGTGATTTGATTACCTACCCAAAAGAAGAAATAATTGACTTTTGGAAAACATAACATCTTAACCTCCTTTTTTGGGGAGTAATAACTTCTACAAGAACATAACTTAACTTCCTTTAATGACTTGCAGGACTTAGGAAAGAAAATCCTATTATACCTAAAAAAAAAAAGAAATTTCATTCTTCCTCAATAAAGTCCAAGGCATGATTTGCTCTTTAAAGGTTTTAAAATTAGCTTTTCTTCTAATTTCAATGAACCTTAAATCTTCTTGTAACTTTTTTTATTAAAGTACTCAGGAAAAGAGCTCATTCCCTCTCTCTCTTCTTCAATGCAATAAAGGAAAAGCACTCAATTCATGAGCAAAGAATCCTTTGAAGTGCACTGTTTCCTTTGTTAGTCATATAGACCTTTTTGGCTAAATCAGTGTTAAAACACAAAAATTATGAATTACAATAATTTTAATTCAGTGATTTTTCATCACTTTCTAAACAACTTTCCTATCTTGTTTTTGTTTTCGTTTGTTAAATTTATCCTCCAATCCACCAATTCTGTGAAAATGCTCAGATTCATTCTTCTCTTGTTTCAGAAGCATCTACAACACCACTCCATCCTGGCATCACCACTGTATCTTCTACAGCCAAAACTACACCTGTTCCAGCCATTTGTCAACCAGGCTGGACACCTTGGTTTAATGGACACACACCCGACAGTAGTGGAGACTATGAAACCATGCAAACTCTAAGAGATCAAGGTTATATATTTTGTTCCGGTGAAGAAGTAACTGCTGTTGAATGCCAGCAGGTAAAAACAACTCCTAAAACTCCACAGAAAGCCACCCACACTGACAGAGATGTGGTTTGTGATGTGCAACATGGCTTGATATGCAAAAACAAAAATCAAGTGAAGGGAAATAAGTGTGATGATTATGAAATTAGGTTTCTTTGTGATTGCTTAGAAGGATCTACTCAGAGTACAGTAGCTTTAACAAATGCTACCACTACTATTTCTGGTATAGTCTCTTTCATCCCATTCTCCAGTACTTTGCCACCAGCACCAGTCAACACTACTGCTGCTCCAGTGAGCAAACTATCAACTCCTGCTGCCCCAAGTACTGTACAGCCACGTTGTGCTTACTGGTCTGACTGGATCAACTTAGACAGCCCCTTGAAAAGTGGTTATTTAGGAGATAAAGAAACAACTTTACCTGAAACATTGAGAGCAAAAGGATTTTGTTCTGAGGTAAAAAATGTACATAATGTTCAATAGGTATTTTTTGTATAAACTATTCTATATAAGTAATAATTTTTATTCTTGTTTACATGTAAAATAATGTGTTGTTGATGTCAATTAAGTCAGTAAATACTACTTTTTATGTAGTTATCTTTAATACCTCCATCACCAGATGTATTTGTTGCCTTTGTATCTGTTTCGTTCATAGATATTATTTCAGCATCCATGAATGATATGTGGTGAAAATTTGATTTAGTTTACTTGGAGGATTATTCCTGCCTTACTGTGAATCATATTTTTAACCATTGAACACCAGATTAGAAGTTATGGCTTAGAAGTTATGATTAGACTACAATCAATACAGTTGTTCTGATCATAAGTAAATGAATGTGCAAAAAGGAATATACATAACTTTTGTCATTCAGTTTATGATCAGAAGATGTGATTGTATTACATAGACCATAATGAACGGTTTATAATCAGAAGATGTGATTGTATTACATAGACCATAATGAACGGTTTATGATCAGAAGATGTGATTGTATTACATAGATCACAATGAAGATTTATGTTTTGATCACAAAAAAGTAACTTTGTTATGAAAATCGTACATTACTTCCTTTCAAAGAAAGAAATATTTAAGTCTTCATTATAAATACAAGAATATAGGCAATGAACTGGGGAAAATGAAGGATATTAGTCATTTTTCTTAATATGTGTAAACGGAGATAGTCATTTTTCTTATATTGATAAATTCAAAAAAAAAATCGCATCAAAAAAGAACTAAAATGTAATCAAATTTCAATATATCAGAATGTCACTAAACTGGTATTTTTGCATTCATAAAGTTCATGTGGATTTTGAATGCAACTATTTGCTTGTGAACATGATTTACTTTGCGATTTATGGTATAGTGGTGTTATTGTCTACTGATTTTTTAAACCTTTTTTAAATTTTATTAAATTATTTGTTATCGTTGATTATTTTTCTTTAGAGATGTAACATAAATGCTTATTAAAGAATGGGGCTTACAAAAGTCCAGAATTTTACGAAACAAGAGAGGGCAACAAAATTTTGAAATAATTTTATGGAATGCTATGGTTTTTGAAATTACTATGAAATACTTGTTCTGTAATGCTACGAAATTCTGCTGCTTTTGTTACATACATACCAGCACCGTAATTTTACTATTGTTTAAGAGAAGACTTGGTAAATATTTATACGATAAGGGTTGACTTTGAATGTTCTATTTTTATTTTAAACTTTAGTGGATGGGACGGTCTAGCCTAGATAGATCAATTTGTCTCTTGATGTCCTTAAATTACATTTTATATTTATTATAATAGCATTATTTCCGTTCGAGAAAACCTGTGATGACTGGTCTATCTGGATTAATTCCGACTCGCCATCTGATGATGGGAAGGATATCGAACTTTTGTCTAATATTGCCAACTTTAGCGCCATCTGTCCCCAGTCATTAGCTGTAGAATGTCGAGATTCCGAGACGGGATTATCTCATAGATTAACGAAGGAAAAGTTAACTGAACCGTGCACCAGGAATGGTATTATCTGTGAAAGTTCTGACCAACAAATATGCAGTGACTATGAAATTCGGGTTTTTTGTTCATGTAAGATATTCTAACTGTTTGAGTATCTATGTGATTTTTAATGATTATATTTTCTTACTTATTATATAACAATTTATATTTTATGCTATTGTTTGACGTAGTTATTTATTTTATGTTTTTTTAAATTAACATGAGTACGGACAGATGTCACTGAAAGCTAATGCAGTAAATTGCGACAATTAAATCGTGCATATACTTTTCTTCTGTTTCTCTGAAGTGTAATTTTTAACCCAAGAGATACACGATCCATATTTAATAGGTCTTGAGCACTTCCAAAATGTATTGATGCAAGTACTGTTGACCACACTCATGCTTACAAAACATACACCCAAACACCCCAATCATGCCCCCTAGTGGCACAGCGGCATGTCTGCGGACTTGCAACGCTAGAAACCGGCTTTCGATACCCGTGGTAGGCAGTGCACAGATAGCCTATTGTGTATCTTTGTACTTAATTTCAAACAATCAATCAAACCACAATCATTAGGAAAGGTTGGCGCTGATGCATGCATTAAACCTACACACAGAAATAGCCTAGTTATTTGTATATCAATAGTTTATTTAATAATTTTATCTGAATTAATAAGGTTATTGCATAATTAAAAACAAGTTTAGATAAATGTATTGGTATTACATTATTGGTCATTTAACTTGTATTCTAAGATCCCATGGACTATTGTTAGTTTGTAGCCTTCTCCCAATCCTAGATCTATACATCAAAACATGCCCTCGGTTTAAAAAAGTGCACTAAGAACAGCATGCTTGATGGATGTAACAGTAAAAAATCATATTACCTTTTCCAGAGCTGTTATTTCAAACGTTTTTCATGAAATGCACAGTAATGTTTATTTTTTCATATTGTTGTTATAGGATATTTATTAAGTAAGTTATCTGTCAGTTTCTAGAATTAGCTTTATATCACAGTGTACCCTGAATACAAAGTGGTTTTGTTACTTTAAATATGGGTTTTGTGAAGATGAAAAATATACTTGTTTGCAATTTAGCATCCAGACTTATGGAATTCCCAAATATACATACAATAATCATCCATAACTGTGTTAAAATTAGAGAACTTAGTTTTACAACAAAGATGATTAATTGTCATTTGTGATATAAGTTAGGACAACACCTTCTTTGATTATCTTTTAAGTAAGATGACTATTTAATGGTCAAAATATGAACTAAACATGGACAAACTGGTGTAGTTTCTTTAACGTACATTTAAAAAATGGTTACTTTTTTTCTGATTAGAAAAATATTGTTTTCCCATTTATATCAGGTCCACAGTTCCGACCCTATAAAGCCCTCAACTCCAACTTCTGTTGCACCAGTAACACCAACATGTGAGTTTTGTATTTCTTTTATTTCATGATATGGTGATGTGGTACTGTATTATTATTTGTTCACCCATAAAACAGATTGATATCAGTGTACCATTGATTTGATAACTGTCTAACTTAGAAATTATTTTTATTGTTTTTATAAACTGGAAAAAGCAAGGAGGGATATCTATACAACTAATCTATAAAGTACATACAAATTTCCAACAGATAAAATTTGTTCCTTTTTGAGAAATATTTATTTTATTAAGTAATAAATTTGCTGCATAAACAATAAGAATTAAACTAACAAATCGTAAAAAGTTTAATGACTACTTTAAGAAAACAAACAAATATGAGAGAAAACAGTAAATTCCATAAACTTGATCAAAGACTTTCATAAGATCTGCCAAAAACCAAACATTTTTCCCATTTTATTGGAATTTCACAGTTCTGGTTAATGTAGTAAAATGTCATAAAAAAAAAGTTTTAGAAAGAATTCTAAATAACAAAAGCTTGGAATGTTTACAACCAAGACTTTCTAAACATATATTGGTGTTTATATGTAAATTATATTCAGGTGTAACTGAGTTAATCCTAGAACAATTGGATAGGTCTTCTTAATGACAGGAGATTCAATAAGATATTTATTAAGAAGTAATTCTGAGTTCTCCAACTTTGAGTTTGAGAAAGAAATAGGGCAATGAAACAGTCATTATTTATACTGAAAATAATGTTTATAGGAAGAAGGACAGAGCCTTTACTACATAGTTATAATTTTAAACCCTCTAAACAACTTATAAATATCCTGAATAAGATTTTCTTCACATTACTGGTTAAAGTTTAGAAGAGAATTACTATCTACAAAGAAAGGACTTGTACTTAATTTAACCAAACTCAGGTTTAAATGCATGGTATATTCATATACCACACATGATAAATGCAGTCATTAACCATTGAATACAAAATAATATTCATTGAGATACTGAACAGTGAGGAAGACATGTATTAAATGGTAGATTTCAGCCACCTATAGCCATTTTGCACATTTTTGAGTTTTAAAGCATATACTGCATAAATTAGTATTAAAAATTAAATCTACCTACAGTATGCTTCTGGCTATAGCAGAGAAGAGATGCAGGAACAAATTTTAACTGGGTAATGGGGACATATTTTTTTTTATTATTTCTAAGTATATAGAACGTAACTGAGTGACTTTTGTAAGGTATGAGACAGTAGTATGAAATTAATAAACTCAGAAACACAAGTAAAAAAATGTACTTTTTATGTAACATTAAAAGATGATGCATTAACTATGCAGAACAGGTATTACATAAATCAAATGAAGCAATCTCCATAGGTGCCTTTTTAAAATACTAACTTACAGCACAATGGAGTACAACTGCACCCCCACTTACAGTGTTTATCAGGTACAGTGTAAAACAGTCGTAGACAAACTGTTATTAGATTTTCAGCTGCTTCTATACTACCACTCAGAAGTCTCAATCAGCTGAAGATCTATTGTTTTCAAAATATAAAAATTCTTATAACCACCAGCCCTAATTTTTGGGCCATTATCCAAGATTTCTATAAGATTGTACCCAGAACATCAATGTAGTTCTCACATAGTACACAGTAAGATTTTTCTAAATTTAGCCCTAAGTATTTAACTTTTATACCTTGTGATTATTGAGGACATATTAATAACAGAGGTAAAGGTCCCAATGTTGTAGGTTTGGTGTAATTGCTCTTAATACTTAGCTTTTGTACTTTGTGACCACTGAGGACGTATTAATTACAGAGTTAAGGGTCATAATGTTGTAGGTTCAACGTAATGAGGCCTGGCATGACCAGGTAGTTAGAGCACTTGATTTGCAATCTGTGGGTCAAAGGTTTGAATCCTCGTCCCACCAAATATGCTTGCCCTTTCAGCTATGAGGGTGTTATAATGTGACGGTCAATCCCATTATTTGTTGGAAAAACATAGCCCAAGAGTTGGTTGTGGGTGGTGATGACTAGCTGCCTTCTCTCTAGTCTTTCGCTACTAAATTAGGGATGGCTAGTGCAGATAGCCCTTGTCCTTTGTGTAGTTTTGTGCGAACTTCCAAACAACCAAAACAAATTGATGCAATGAAGTTTTTCAAAGAGCAAAATTAAACATCAAATGTCAGTGAAATTACTTATGTTTTTTAATTTAAATCATCAAAATTTCCAACGTGTTATTCCTTAATTATTGACTATTAAAATACACAGAAAGATAATGCCAATGCTGCTTGTACATCAGTAGTGTCATGACCAGCATACAGTTCTGCTAATGATGTACTCACTAGGAATAGTTCAATTTAAGTTGAAATACTTAATTATCCTGTAGTGTAGTGTAAATTAGACAGGTATCTAAACTATTCAAATTTTAATTGTTGAATTAAAAAATTCTCGCATTCGGAAATCATCACAAATACATTGTTTATTTTTCAATGAATAATGATTATCAGTTTAATTAGATTAATGTATAAATACTTGTTTCATACTTATAACTACTCAATTTCAGGAGTTCTAGTGCTGTCCGCTGGTTGCACCTGTTCTGCCTGGTTCAACGCATTAACTGTAGACCAGGTAGAACAGGTGCAACCAGAGGATAGCACTGTAACTCATGAAATTGAACTGTTGTAGGTATGAATCAAGATGATTATAGCAAATGATTAAATAATAAGTCAGGTGAGTAAAGTTCGTGCGAAAGGCCTGACTCATCGCAACTTCTTATTGAAACATGATTTCAACATTTTTGATCCTTCACTTAATGTAAGAAGATTATCCAAAATCAAAACAACATGTTATCATTAAATATAAATAAAGTACATCTTATATTTAAGAAAGATCACAAACAGCTTCAGATGATTTTTTTTATTCTATCCAATGTTTTGGCTAAGGCCTTTGCCTTTTTCAAGGTTCATTGAGTACCACAGGTTTGTAACTTTTGACACTGAAAAATCTTTGAAAAAAGTATAAGTTGAAATCTCAAGTAGAATGAGAAAACATTTATCTGAAGTTGTTTATCTTTCCTGAATATGGTTTCCATCCTTCATTAAGCACTGAAAACTTTAAAAAGTAATAACAAGTCAAACTCATGTTACTATCAACATCCATAATATAAATGATAAACACTATTCCTAAAAAAATCTCTAGAAAAACCTACTAGTTGAATTAATCAAATAAAAATTTTTACCCATTTATTGGCATCTTCATTGTTTTTTAACCATCAAGCAAATGTATAAACCATTTTTTAATATTTTTCTCTGTACCATGAGAACCTAATTTTAATTGAACCATATGAGTGGATTATTTGCTTTTTTGCACCTCCAAGTAAAAATGTCCACCAGGATTGCCCTTATCTGAAACAGCTAAACTTTATAAAATAACTTGTTATATTGGTGAGATAATAAAACTTCTTTTTGAAACTTGTTTCTAAATACAGTTTCCTAGGTTCTGTTCCAAAAAGCCCCTAACCCCTATGACTCCCAGGCTCAGCACTAAGCATGATGCCGTATAATGCTAAAAACCAGGGGTTGATAACTCTGATAGGAACAGTACAGATAGGTCATTGTGTAGCATGGTGTTATTAAAATAATTTCAAAAAGTATTTTTATATCACAATTTCAAGATATGCAACAGAGTACATGGAAAGTAAATAGTTTATATTTAATTGCTTATTGCGTTCTGATTAATTAATATAACAGTTCCATAAAGTTGAAAATTAACCTTTCTTATTCGTAAATTTTAACAACAAAATAATTCTATAATGAAACACTGCACTTAGTAAAAACAGAAACATATTAATGTGGTTTCATTTAATGATCAAAGACCCATTAATGTTATTAAACTTTTCATAGCAATAATTTGATTGTACATTGTCAGTGAACCTTAACTTGTGTGATTTTTTGTATCATTTTTATGCAGCACCATGTCCTCCAGGAGTTGATTGGGACTTCTGTGCTTTTCGCTGTGAACAAACCTGTATCTCCTTCCTTAAGCAGCTCAACTCCCATGGTGAGTGTAAAGCTGTAAGATCAAATGAACAAGAAGATTGTGTAGCAGGCTGTAAACATGTCTTCTGTCAACCACCTTATCTCTGGAGAGATGAATACACCTGTGTTCTTCCACAGGAGTGCACATGTGTTTTGGATGATGGCACAGTAGTTTCTGTAAGTAGTAACACCATTTAAAATAGATTTCAGAACAAAGAGTTAGAGACATGCCATTATGAGTCCTAAATAAATATACTCAGAATCAGTTGCATTTACTTATTATGACCCATTGCCTAACAAACTTTAGATTTAGAGAATAAATTAGGAGAAAAATGTTGAAAATTGATTATACATTTAATTATGGAAACAGTTACAAGTTACGGCATTCAACTTTTATTTTAATATGTAATACGTTTTTGTAACTTTAAAGCAAATTAGCTAATACAAAAAAAATCCTGACTTTCATGCTCCTTTATATAGATAACTTGTACGATACAAGTCATTGAACTTTTTTTCACCAAACATCCAAAGTATGTATTTGAAGTTTATCACATTCTTAAGAATAAGAATTTTAGCAGATTGTAATTCCATTTATATCAGAATGGGTTTTTTAAATAGATCATTTTAAAAGTAAAATGGTTAAACAATTTGTAAAATTGTTGAACTTGTTTTGTTTTTCTTTGCTGCTATCAATTGCATTTTACTGATGTTTGAAATGTATTTATCATCAAACATTACAGCAATGCTAGAAATGCTAAATTGTAATGTTTAATTATACTCTTTATATCAAAATATTGATTTGATAATAATGTTTATCTCATTTTCACAAAAAAAGTTGAAACTAGCATTAATTATTAGACAGGTTTTGCATAAGTAGTTTGACAAGATGTCCCAATATTTGGCAGGACAGTCCCGCTTTTGAGCTGACTGTCCTGCTATCCCCCAGAAACTTTAGAAGATGCAAAAATGCCCCACTTTTGAAGATAATGACCTTAAATGTCTCGCATTATCAAAATTAATACCGGTAAGCACTACCGTATATATTGCATCTAAGATTTGTCCTGTCCTCATATAATATCCTTCATTTTCATATATTAACGTTCAAACTAAGGTTGGTGTCCTATGATTGCACCTAATATTTGTCCTGTCCTCATATATCTCCGTTTACACATATT